CCCTTTTGTTTGTCTCTGATGTGTGGATTATGTGATTTAAGATTGAATGCCTACTTGATTTATTTCTGGATTTATGAAGGATCTTAGCTCTTCTTTAGAGTTTCTGTTTGGAGCCATAAAGTTTTATATCCCTGAGATGTGCTTAGAATTTTATTAAACATGCTTTGCCTAGATGTGACCAAAGAATCGATCTCTTGCTCTAGGGTTATCTATATATGATTTTTGACGAGAAGCATGAAACATGAAACATTTCATCTTTCAGTAATTATTTTGTTAGCATCAAGCTTCCATTTTTTTTATGATTAAGCTAGCTCAATATAGTTCAGTGACGAGGATTACACATTCCATCATCTTCTTGGCTTAGTGTAAGTTCAAGTTTTGATGCAAGACTCGCTTAATTATGTTTTTTTTTTTTAAACGTGATTGCCATCGGACTCTTTTCTTATTTATAAGATAACAAATTCAGAAGCTAAGTTGCTTAATAGAGAAATTGGGAAGAGCTATGCGAGCAAGGTTTTACTTAAATTTTCCTAAACGCGATAAAGAAGTTGTATGCCAATTTGGTTCAGGAAGATTTGTTTGCATGCTACTCGGTCTTTACGCATTTACATGCCTAATGTCTAAAGTTTACTTTTTATTATATACATGCCACTCAATTGCCATGTGCTTGCATATCTAACACATTGGCTTTAATTTTTACATGCATACCATACAATGCTTATATTCTCTGCATATGTGGAACCTAAGCTTTATAGTTACACCACTCTAATCTTTAATTCTACGTAAGAGGTACTTCTATTTCTTAACATGAAATGTATCTTTTCATACTTAGGATTTATATGTTGTTTTGGAAATAATTTGGGCACCATTTTAGAGCAATTTCGACATTGTTTTGGGATGTTTTTGCTTGTTGATTTAGAGAGGCTTACACAATGTTTTGAGGCGAATTTAAGGTTTGATTTTTTATGCATTGTTTTGGAGCCACTTTAGGTGCCAATTTGAGTTGATTTTGGGCACTGTTTTGGAGCCACTATAGGCGCTGGTTTGGGCTAACTTTGATCGTTGTTTTGGAGTCACTTTATGTGTCGATTTAGGCTGATTTTGTGCACTGTCTTGGAACAAACTTAAGCACTCTTCTCGAGAGTCCATTTAATTACAGTTGTTGAAAGATTCTAAACGCTTTTAGGTCGATCCACTCGTTGTTTTCTCCCTTGACTTTACTAGTTTTGGAAGTGGGTCTGCCTCATCTTTCTTTTTTTTTTTACTTCTTTTTAAATGGTTAAGTCATAAAGATGGGGATTGATGATTTAAATAATTGGAAGATATAGAAAACCTTAAATCACCTTAAGCATAAGTTAAAGAGTAGGCTTCTCAAAGTTTTAGGAGCACACCCTAGGTGAGAGTTCATTCACCTAGTCCTTAGTGTAAACCTCCTAGACTTTAGGTGCACACCCTAGGTGAGAGTCCATCCACCTAATTCTCAGCATAGGCTTCCTAAATTTTAGGTATCACCCTAGGGGAGAGTCCATCCACCTAATTCTCAGCATAGGCTTCTAGATTTTAGGGACACGCCCTAGGTGAGAGTTTATCCACCTAATTTTTAACATAGGCTTCCTATATTTTAGGAGCATACCTTAGGTGAGAGTCCATCCACCTAATTCTCAGCACAGACTTCCTAGATTTTAGGAGCACACCAAAGGTGAGCGTTCATTCACCTAATTTTCGAATAAATAACAAAACTTGACACTTGACCCTGATTCACAAATTGATCAAGACACTAGACACTAGGATGTACCGAGACGTAGTTCATGTTTCCTTAATTAAATCAACAGTGAAATTCCCAAAATGACTTAACCTACAATAAAACCCAGTGCACCGAGATTTGAGCTTGGATATTACACTCAAATCCTCCTGGCAATTGGGGAAATTTGTTAATGCCACATATGGATCATCGAACTAGGATAAGTTTAGGGTCTAAGTGGCGAGGGCAATGACGACATTACTTATGTGTGCTTAAACGAGGGATACGAAGTGGGATTATTAGAATAGTATCTCCTACCTCGAGGATCTTCAATAAGGGAGAGCGAAGGACCTATGATACTATTCGCCGATTCTTGGTGGGATCGTTGCCCCCGACACTCTTAGGTTATCAGTAGTTCTAGCA